TTACTGTAAGTCTAGGCAGTCCTGACACGCACATAGACATCCCTCCTCTTTATAAACTACCCGAGACCACCAGTCTCAAGGTTCTCTCACAGCAGTGAGCTTCAAAGACTGTGCACTGAATAAGTAGAAAAAGTCAACTGATAAAGTACTTGTTGTTGTGAAGCGAAATATTCCAGAGCCTCAGCTCTCAGCGGAGTAAGTGCCAGCCAGAGGCTTTTGCAAAATAGCCTTTTGCACGGGCACTAGATCCTCAGTGGCCTAAGCTACCACTTTGTTCCCCAAAGCATACATACCTGGCAGTATATATACTCTGGATGGCAGTTGCAAGTTACATCTGCATAATTTCATTTTCAAATAACTGAGCTGCAAAAACTAAAGCTGAAAACAAGCAAGCAAAAAAATCACACATCTTTGTGCTAAAGCACGACTATTTAGGCTGTAACAACTATTCAGTATCTGCTATCTCTACATTTTTTATTAGCTCATGTTTACTTTGGCTGCACATCCAAGCAGTCGTTTAACCAGAGCGAGAGAGGAAAATCTTGGACTCTCAACAATGGCAAAGCAGCTTAATCTGCCACTGGGGACAATGACTTGGCTCCTACTGGCATTTAGTTCTGGCAGGGTCAAGTGCAACCCGCGGTGAAGGAAGCACTCGGGGAGCAGGGCCACAGCCGTTCTCCCAGCACCAAGTACTTCCTTGAGCTATTCCAAGGTCTCCTTCCCTTGTGCGCGCAGGGAACCACTCCAGCAGTTCACTCACCTGTACCGACATCCCCACTCACTGAATTGATGAGTTTTGGGGCTTCGAAGAGCTCCGGGTTGGATATAGCACATTCCTCCAGCCTACAGTTTTGACATTCAGGACTAAGTTAGGAAGACAGAAGCAGTGCGGATTTTGTCCTTGGCATGAGCCCCTAGCTTGGGGTCCTGGAAGCCAACTCGTGTTGACCTGGCCCTGGACAGCTTGGGCACAAGCACTAAACAAGCTTTTGTCCAGCAACGACTCCAGGCAGAAGGGTCAAGAATTTCTTTATTCATTCATGGTGCTGATTTAACAAAATTTATTTTTTGTACAGAAGCTCAAAACACTTGACAATAGAAGAACAATGCAACTTGCACCCTTGGGTCAACCTAGAGTGATATATTCAGAGGCAGGTCAGAAGCGATGCTAGTTAACATCAACAGTCAGATGAGCAGAGACAAAGTCAAACTGAGACTGTACTAAGGACGAGGACAGAAATTTCAGGACCTTCATTCCATATTCATATGCCAGGCTAACCCATTTCTAAATGATCTTGATTAAGACTTTTAAGACTATTAGCTTATTCTTGATAACCATGTCTTTCTGGTCCCCATTAGAGTAATATCATCGTCTTGGAGGGCTCCTATTGAGTAAAGGCAGAATCATTTGTTAGAGCTGCTCTCCGTTGAGCAGACACCAACAGACACAAAGTGAGTCACGGAGCAGAGGCAGCTCTGCAAGACGAAATACAGGAAGGTGGAAGCTCTGGGGCATTCTTCAGCTTCCCCTTTCCTTTCGCAACCAGCCCCTTGATATTTTCCTCAACAGGAAGACCATCCCTCCCCACTCCTTGCAAACTGCTGACAGTTCTGTTTCACACCTGGCAAAGCCGATGCAAAACGGAAGGAAGAAGGGAAACAAAGACCAGGAGCTTTTCTCAGGAACGACATCTCCCCAGAACGCAGCGCTTCTTCCCTCCCAGCTGTAGCTGAGGATATTCCACTCCTTAAGGATAAAATCTAACAGTCACCTATCAGTCATGGTGGGAAATGCCACCTCCTGTGTCCGGAGGACCCCAGAGTGAATTACACTGCGGCAGCCCCACAGAGAACAGTCAGAGCTGTCGAATCTGGTCATGGACAAGAGTTCCCAAGAGCAACAGGGCACGTGCAGCCAAGCCCCTTTGCTCGTGAATTCTCAACCATCTTACCTCCAATGTCCTGTCCTTTAGAAGTAATTCCAACTGCTAGAACTCTTGGTAACAATATAAGGACTAAACAATACTGGTAAGAGCTTTTCTCTGTGTCCCCTAACAATTGGGATTGCCCCTTTCCTAGATGCAGCTGGTGGCTATTGTTCCAGCTGCTTTTTTTTTTCTTTCTTTTGTTTTTATGCAAATGTTCTGTTATTATCAGACAAAGTGTTTGCAGTTTCTCTCTGTTTTTTTCCCCCACTTTGAAGCTCAAAATAGCATTACCCCTAGCAGAAATAGCCCAAGGAGCAGCAGGAAGGAGAGGCAGCTGCCTGTGTACTAGATGAGAACATGGGGCAGGAGAACAGCAAGCCCACCAGCACCATCACACCAGGCTGAGCTAGACGCTCCACTGGAGACACCGGCAATCCAAGGGTGGACATAGGCCTAGGATACTGAAGCCCAGGGAGGAATCGTTTCCTTACCGGAGCAATCGTGAAGGAAGGTCAGTAACCTGCCTGCAGAGAAGTTTTGCTCACTCCTAAGTTACATGTTTCAGACCTAGTAGCTTAAGACAGAAGTGATCCTTGAGGAGCACTGAGCTAAAGCTACGTAATATTCTGATATCCTTTTGAAATGTGCTTGCCCACGAAGGCCACCTACAGCCCCAGGGATCATACCCTGCAGAGAAAGGATGTGTGAGCAGGGCAGATGCAATGACAAGGACTGCAGAAGATCCTGCCCTTGTCCTCACGACAGCCTCAGAGCACCAAGGCACCCACAGCCACGTCCTCTGCCACCGTGGCCGCTCCATGGCCCTGCTAAAACCAACCGCAGGGTTAACGGGAAGCAGGGCTGAGCGCAGCAAGGGCTGCAAGCCCTGCGGCGGGAAGGGCAACGACCTGCCATCCTGCCAAAGGCCTGGGAGCCGCTCGGATCCGCGGCACGCCACTCAGATCCGCAGCTCTCTGCGTGCTCCTTGGAACACAAGGGAGATGCCACGTGCAGGAAGGGACAAGCTCTCCTCAACAGGAGGCACCTCAAAAGCATCTACGGTGCTAAAGCATCGACAGTGACACCCCAGAGGATGAGGACCGGGGGATCTCATAGGGTTTCCTGGAGGGAGATCTGGTGTAGTTCCAAATCCTTGCCTTTAGTACATCCCCATCATGCTGTAATGTACAAATTGAAGGAGTTTTGGTCCAAATCACACGTTTTGCTGTGAAGCATCCACTCGCGGGCACGCAGCTTCTAACCACACTGCCTGCGTTCCTGTTGATCCGCACTACACCAGCCTTGCGAGGATTCAAAATTATAGCCCTCGCTGGGTAAGAATTAAACTAATGGCAGCAGCTCTGTACCTATTTCAAGGAAAGTTACAGCAGAAACTGCAGAGAAAGAGGCAGCCATGTGGTCTTCAGCCTATATAAAGCAATAAGTAACACAAAAATAAGAAGAAATGACAGCTTTCTCCTTCCCTGCCACACGCCTGAGAGGCTGCCTCGCGGACAAAGAGAATTAGGGAAATGAGGCAGCCTCAAGAGCTTTGTAAACATTAGAAATTAAAAAGTCAAATCAAAAAAAGATATTTTAAAATATCAGAGGCTTTGGAAGAAGCAGTAACGGAATATTTGACAACCACACCGCAGCAGGAGCAGCGGGAAAAGCCAAAGGCTTCGCGGGTTTGGTCGGGCAGCCCGAGAGGCGCCGGATCTGCAGCCTTTCCCTGTGCCCCAGCCTCCCAGGAGGGCTCTCCAGGCCTTCCCGATGCTCCTGCAATAGCTTTTCCAGACTGGCAATCACTCTTTATGACTTTCAGAAGAGGGAGACAACAACAATCTGATGAAATTTGAACTTAAATTGGTATCAAAGCACAGCGAAAACGGATCCCGTCCCGGCTCTCCAGCTTTGTGCCATGTGGAGTAACTCCTCTTAACAGGCTGCAGCTGGGACAACCGCGGAGCCTCTGGAGCATTTCCATGAGCCTTCATGCAAGGGGGAAGTCATTAATAGAACCACATGTGCAAAAAACAAAAGAAAAAAAAAACTAGAGAACTAAAAACCGAGAAAGAAGCATAATAATAATAATAAAATACATATATATAACGATGTAAAATTAAACTGCCTTCGGTGAGGCACGTTTTGAGGAGCTGCTCGGTTGGTTTGTAAGGAAGAGCGATTGCAGCCGGACTCGAGCTCATCCTCCGACAACAACAAAGGAGCCGCCGGCCCGGCCGGGTCCGGGGGCACCGGGCGGCCCCGGGGCGCCGGCCACGCGGGCCGGGCCTCCGCTTCCCAGCTCGGCTCAAGCCTCCCCGCCGGCGCCCAGCACGGGGGGCAGCTCCGTGGCCGGGGGGGCTTCCCGCAGAGCGGGACACGACCCCCCGTCCCGGGGGCGGGAGCGCTCGCGCCTGCCCGGGCACACGGCAGCCCCGGCCCATCCTCAGCCCGCCAGCCCGGCCCAGTCCCGGCCCCACCTGGTCGCGCTGCTTGCTCGCTCGCTCGCTCGCTGCTGCTGCCGGTCCCGGCGCTGGGCAGGCAGGCGGCG